ATTGTTGGGATGAGAACTCTGTGCGTGTGTCCGCGCGTGTGTGTAGGAGGCACACGATTCAAGCCTATTAAAGTGGAAAGAAGTCTCCCCATTCATAGCTTGGTGCAGAATGATCTAGAAGCTTGAATGAACATTCAAAGTATTTCTCTAGCACTCATTCTACATCTCATACACTAATGACAATTCAAAGGGTAAAAAGTCACATAAATAGTACAAATATACACTGAGTGTACAAAACATTAAGAACACCTACTCTTTCGATGACCTAGACAGACCAGGTCAATCCAGGTGAAAGCTATGATCCCTAATTGATGTCACTTGTTAAATCCACTTCAATCAGTGTAGATGAAGGGGAGGAGACAGGTTAAAGAAGGATTTTTAAGCCTTGAGACATGGATTGTGTATGTGTGCCATTCAGCGGGTGAATTGTCAAGACAAAATATTTAAGTGCCTTTGAACAGGGTATGGTAGTAGGTACCAGGTACACCAGTTTGTGTCAAGAACTGCAACACTGCTGGGCTTTTCACTCTCAACAGTTTCCCGTGTGTATCAAGAATGGTCCACCACCCAAAGGACATCCAGCCACCTTGACACAACTGTGGGAAGCATTGGAGTCAACATGGTCCAGCATCCCTGTGGAACGCTTTTGACCACTTGTAGAGTCCATGCCCTGACGAATTGTAGAGTCCATGCCCCAAGGGCAAAAGGGAGACACTGGGATTGCAATCTACAGTATCTAAGATGCTTAATGCAGATTTTAACCATCAAATCCTTAAGCAAAATTATTCTGGTGAATGGAAAAAGGGGTTCTTGATAGATGTAATACATTAAAATGTTAGTCATTTAGCAGATGCTCTTATCAAGAGCGACTTACAGTTAGTGAGTGCATAGATTTTTCATACTGGCCCCCCGTGGGAATCGAACCCACAACCCTGGCGTTGCAAGCGCCATGCTCTATCAACTGAGCTACAGGAGGCCTTACCTTATGCTAATGAGGTGTTGCTGCAAGCATAATATAGCTTCTAGTGAGGGGCAAACCAACCATATACCCAAGACTAATATGTATGCAGATGATGATGGAACTTGGAAGACATTATCGATTAAAATACTAAATCCTCTACAATATGTGTATTATCATTTAAATTGAGCCAGTACCAGAAAATAGTATTGTTGGTGTATCATGATATGAACATCACCACAAAATAAGAAAATAAAATGAGCCCATCCCTAACTCAAAAAGGGATTGGTAATCTTAGAAAACGTTGTAACAGTTACTTGATTATTTATATTATGGGCTCTATTTTAACAAACCTAAGGCAATGGTCAATCTAATACTTTTGCTATTTCCACAACCACAATTGTCGTAGCAGTTGCTGGCGTTAGCGCCAAAGTGCTGGGTTTTGATGATAAACAAGTTGTGGGTGTGTTGAGGCTTGGCCCCTCACTGGCCAATCAGAACGTGCTCCATGGCTAAATATGTGGTTGCGTTAAATTGTGTATTTATGGTATTTTATGTATTGCCTTGGAATCAACTTCAATTCCAATGTTAGTCACTATAGTTTGTTAAACAGCTTACAGAAACGTAATAACAAAATGTAGACCTAACCCATCGTTGCTAAATACACATACAGTATGTTAACTTCAACCTGTTTGCAGTCCACATTGTTCTAAGTAATTGCATAGCTACAATGTGGAAATATATACATAGTATTCGCACTGATATAGGGGCTAGGCTACTGTAAATTGCATTATGGCTGAGGATGGACATGCCAAATGTTGTCAATAAGCAACATAAAATTCATTATTGATGAGGCCTAAAAAGAGAGCGAATAATTATCAAATTCTAAACAAAACAACTTGTTTTTCAATAGGCTATGTGTAAATACACTTACAGGCACCATAATTGCTCCCTGTGGACACATAATATTAAAACAACGCAGACTACGGAGGGTTTTATGCACATCCACACTTTTCACGGTAGCTGGACAAAGATCCGATATAACGATAAAGGGAGAATGTCCACTCACCATTATACTGCGCCGACATATGTTTTATATACATATTGGAACCATCTTACAGATCGCATTCACACTTCTCCAGAAGTTGCATTGCATGCGTGCCACGGACGTTCTCACCATAAAACCAGGACAGTGAATCATTCTAATAAGTTTGGTTGTATTACATTTCTACGAAAAACAAGCAATCTGTTCGTTTTTTCCCAATAACAATAAATACATGTAAAATGTAATGATATAAAATCACCATCATATGAAAAAGACGACCCCATTGCTGTTGGGCCAGCCTTCGTTGTAGTAGAACTAGAGTAACACCTTGATCACACCTACATCTTCATTGCGCAAAATGTTACGCAGTATCGTCTGGATATGTGTGCAACAAAAGTTCAACATTCACCTTCTGCTACCATTTCTGTCAAGCTGTCTACGCATACAATTTCATGCATAAGGTTGATAAATCCTATGTATGCACCACACAGAACGCACTGCAACTGCCTCTGCAACGCAATGGTACAAGGCAAATGCAGCGTGTACAAGGCATACTTCTTGTGTACCAAAACGCAAAAACCCTGTCGGTGTGATCGAGGCATAAGGGTAGCCTATGGAGGGCTTGGGTTTAAAAAATATGAAAACAGAAAACAAACTATTGTTACAGGAAAATAACTTTTAAATACGAGGTTCACCGGTATTCACCGAGGTTCTCATCTCATGTTTCATGATGGGAATGGACACGTAGCCTACATCATGGAGGGGGTCTTACACATGTCCAAAGTATGGCTAAAACAATGTAGGCCTGCCTACAATACACAGATAAAAAGGTAATGTCAGCACACTATTTTCCTCCTCTCAAACTTGATATTTTAATAAAGTTTTGGTGATTAAGATTGATTTCCAAGTGGTCTCACGAGCCAAACACTTTATCAACGGTCTTGACTAGCCTACTTGATTGCATTGGGCAGGACAAAAATAAAACAGACATTGAGAGGAGGGGAGGCTATGCTTGGTATTTAATCAAATAAAACGAAATGGGGAAGAAAAAAAACATTCGTGTTTTATGTTTCTAAATAGGAAGTTTACAGGCACCAACTCACATCTTGTTCAATGCACATATGGGCAGTGTGCGTCACGGCTGGATAGGCTGCGTTTCCGCTGTCAAAATTCATGCCATAACCAACTGCTTTACCGCTAAAAACCAGCTTTTGGTTGGTCTTAAATATCCCTACCAGCGCTGTCTGAAATTAGCACTTAAAATCATGTTTTTAATATTCCCACCCCTCCCATCTGAGCACAAGCGTGCTGATGTTAGAGGTAAATTGCCGAACCTGGCGTTACGGCTGGAAAATGCCAGTGCACAAGTTTTTACATGAAATTGCAAACTAACATGCGTTTGACGCTAGCGCCAATTTTAACGCCTGCAGAAAATAGAGCCCTGTATGTTTAGAACTGAAGAAAACCCCCCACAGATATCATATCATATTAAGCGCCACAGGCTAAAATGACATTTTTACATTTACTTATACACTTTGAGATGTTTTGGTATTTAAAAAAAAATAAATTAAATTAAAAAGTAAAAAAAAAAGTTGATTCAAATGTATATTTATTATTTTCGTTAGTTTATCATCATCAAAATGTAATGAATTGTAAACACTTTTAAATGGACATACATCCATAATATCAAAACTCACATTAAAATAACATTTACATTTAAGTCATTTAGCAGATGCTCTTATCCAGAGCGACTTACAAATTGAATCACACATAATTTAAAAGCCCATTTCATAGAAAATGTTACAAACTGGCCTATATGTAGTAACTTACTTTGAATAGATAGATGGTGGTTGGGTCTAAATAGCTGTTTGGCGTTTGGTAGTCTAAATTCATTGTCCTTGTCTTTAACTGCCATTTCCCTAAAGTCAGACTCTACCCACATGCCAACAAATTGTTCTCAGCCTCAGAAGCATGTGCATTCACCAAATTGTCTGTGGTTATCCTTAGACCAGGGTTTCCCAAACTCACTTTGCGTGATAGGCAAATATGTGCATATTGAATGAGATATCACCAAATTTACATATTTGAATACAATATGTCAGAGAAAAAATAAACTAGTAAAAGTCGATTGTGATATGATTAAGAAAAACAAAACTCATAGGGTGTGGTTCCTGGCCTCGGTCAGAAATATTAACCAAAATAGTACCAGTCTTGAGGTAATGAGGAGTGAAACATCTCCTTGTCCATGAGGACATCTGTTTCCCATTCAAGTGCAATACCAATTTCCTATCTTTGACTTGAATCTATCATACAGACAGAAAAAAACGTATAGTATATGTATTGTACAGTAAGAAAATTACATTTGTATGTATTGTACAGTATATGTCCACTAGGTGGCACTGTGGTTCTAGGATTACAGAGAGCTACAGCAGGTGGTTTTCCTGTAAAGCTGTACGTGACCCTCTCAAAGCCTGTTGTGAGGGATGCAAACGCCTTTTGATTTCCTAGTAGTGCAGTTAATGGACATTTCATTTCAATAACCACACTGAGTAAACACGTATTACTCACTAGATGTAATGCCAATATTAAAGTCTGACACAAACACTATCAATGTCTTTAGTCACATTGTGCAGCCTTAACACAATTTCATATCTGGTCATGTTTGCAGGTCCAGCAACAGGGAGACATCGAGTACATCTCCTATGTTTGAACAGGAAGTGGAGCTGGAGAATCCAGTACATCTCCTGTGTTTGAACAGGAAGTGGAGCTGGAGAATCCAGTACATCTCCTGTGTTTGAACAGGAAGTGGAGCTGGAGAATCCAGTACATCTCCTGTGTTTGAACAGGAAGTGGAGCTGGAGAATCCAGACAGTGACATGAAGCAATGTTTTTTTATTTTTTTTTATTTTTTAACCTTTATTTAACTAGGCAAGTCAGTTAAGAACACATTCTTATTTACAATGAAGGCCTACACCGGCCAAACCCGGACGACGCTGGGCCAATTGTGCGCCGCCCTATGGCTGTGTCACAACAATGTTTTGTATGTAGAGAGAGCCTGGAGGGGAAAGACAGGAGGCCAGCCAGTTCAGACACAGCTGACATCCTCAGTGGGGGTGGGACAGACGCTGGCCAACATCCCAGACCCTGTACCCTCTCTCTCCAACCCCATTCTTCCTTTCATGTCCCCTTTATGCCCATTGTGGCTGTTACAGCTACAGTCGTTGGCATCTTTACTGCAGAGAATAGGTGTGACGGTATAACCAGGAACGGTAGGGTTGGCTGGCGTGCTATGGTAGATACACTGTAGGTAGCGGTGGAAGGCCTGTCTGTAGGTCCTGTTGAATAGAGTGTAGACCAGTGGGTTGACACCAGAGGAGACATATCCCACCCAAACAAAGACCTTTAGGAGCACTGCCAACACAGGCTTATTGCACAAGCTTATTATCGAGTCCTCACACAACACACTCAGCACGTTGGTGATGAAGAATGGACACCACATAATCAGGAAGAGGAAAAACACCACACCCAGGACCATGGAAGCTCTCCTCTCATTTTTTATTGATTGAGCCATGCCAGGTCTCCCACCAGCTCCCCCTGGCTCCAGTCTCCCTGCTGGAGAGATGGGTTGAAGGGAGGCTTGAGAGACGGAAACATCGGAGGAACCAACAGCTGGCAAGGCCTCAGGGGCAGGGTCCTGTTTGAGGAGGCGGAGACCGTCCCCTGCAGGGGACCTTGGGGTGATCCTGAGTAAGACCGACTGGTTGATCGAACCCTGGCCTCCATGCAGGAAATCAGAAGCTTGGTGCTGCAGCACACGCACAGTCAAATAGTAGCTGACCACCATGATGACCAGAGGGACAAAGAAGGCTACAAAAGAGCCCACCAGGACGAAGCTGTGCTCGTTCAGTACACAGGTCCCGTTGACAAACACCTTCCCCTCATCATACAGGCCAATCACAGCGATGGGAGTGGAGATCACTGTCAGAGAGAGAGAGATGGACGGGACAGGACAATTCATATAACTTATTATTGTCATATTTAAACCAATGCACAAACATGGCTACATCTATCTCAAAAACATTATATTTTTAGATTAGAGGAGGGAAGCATAATGATTAAACAAATTGACCACCGGGTGCTTTCAAGGAAGGACATGAGGGCGGAGAAAGTGGATGAGGTTTTTAGATAAAGTCAACAAGCTAACAGGTTGACTGGCTCTCCCATTTCTGTGAAACCAAAAAGCCTTGAGCCATGAGTCCATCATGGCTTGTCCTGTTGTCCCTGTTTAGAGCATCTCTCAGGGTGAAGATGTCAGACAGCCCCAGGAGAGGTAAGAGGGAAAGGGTCAGTTTGGCTTTCTGACAGACTGTAGAAAAGAGCACTGCTGTTTTTTATTCAAAGGCAAAACAGAAAGCATGTCACAGAGTAACTGACTATCTCTCCAGACACACAGACAACACAGTAGGAGGAAATTATTTAGCTAGATCTCTTGTTTAATCTTTTTTTTCTCCAGATTTACAGTAACTATGTCAGCATGGACTCACCTATGGAGATGGTCCAGACGAGGGCGATCTTAGCCTTGGCCTTGAAGAGGGTGTTGGAGCGGCTGTGTTGGATTGGGTTACAGATGCCCACATAGCGGTCCAGTGAGATAGCACACAGGTGCATGATGGATGCTGTGGAGAACAGCACGTCTAGGTAGATCCAGACGGGACAGAGGGGTCTGGGGAATGGCCACACGTAGTCTAAGGGATGAACAGGAACAGTTCACTAACAATTACTGATATTTCATTATCAAATCGGCACTTTGTGACCATGCAAACAAATCCAAGGTAATTTTTCAGTCTCATTGATCAACAAATAGACTGCTATGATGTAACTACAAAAATACCCGATCAAAGTCTTTAAGCCTTAAATGGCATGAAAGTAATCAAAGTTTAAGAGGGAAGATCTAAAATAAACAAACTCTTCAATGCCGCTCAAAGTAATAGGGCTTACTGAGATAAGGGAATTGTGTGGGAACGGGGAAGGGGGGTAATCTCACATTAGAATGTCTTTCTGTCTACTCAAATTATCTCCATTTAGTCGCCATCAACATAACGAACTGTCCCTTTATCCTCGTCTAAGGGGCTTGACCAATTGGACCAATTAACATAGACATAAAAGCCTGATTTGTTTGCTCCGGTAGACATGCCATAACATGTTACCCAGGATATTTTTCCTCACCGTCTTCCTCATCCACTAACATCCCCTCACAGTAAAGCCTCGTATCCCTAGCTGCTTTCAATAGATCATTATTCCGAGGGTAAACAATCACTGCTTTGCTTTGCTAATAGAGCTCAACCTACCACCTACCTACAGTTGAAGTCGGAAGTTTACATACACTTAGGTTGGAGTCATTAAAACTAGTTTTTCAACCACTCCACACATTTCTTGTTAACAAACTATAGTTTTGGCAAGTCGGTTAGGACATCTACTTTGTGAATGACACAAGTAATTTTTCCAACAATTGTTTACAGACAGATTATTTCACTGTATCACAATTCCAGTGGGTCAGAAGTTTACATACACTAAGATGACTGTGCCTATAAACAGCTTGGAAAATTCCAGAAAATTATGTAATGCTTTAGAAGCTTCTGATAGGCTAATTGACATCATTTGAGTCAATTGGAGGTGTACCTGTGGATGTATTTCAAGGCCTACCTTCAAACTTAGTGCCTCTTTGCTTGACATCATGGGAAAATCAAAAGAAATCAGCAAAGACCTCAGAAAGAAAATGGTAGACCTCCACAAGTCTGGTTCATCCTTGGGAGCCATTTCCAAATGCCTGAAGGCAAGTATAAACACCATGGGACCACGCAGCCGTCATACCGCTCAGGAAGGAGACACGTTCTGTCTCCTAGATATGAATGTACTTTGGTGCGAAAAATGCAAATCAATCCCAGAACAACAGCAAAGGACCTTGTGAAGATGCTGGAGGAAACAGGTACAAAAGTATATATATCCACAGTAAAACGAGTCCTGTATCGACATAACCTGAAAGGCCGCTCAGCAAGGAAGAAGCCACTGATCCAAAACCGCCATAAAAAAGCCAGACTACGGTTTGCAACTGCACATGGGGACAAAGATCATACTTTTTGGAGAAATGTCCTCTGGTCTGATTAAATAAAAATAGAACTGTTTGGCCATAATGACCATTGTCATGTTTGGAGGAAAAAGGGGGATGCTTGCAAGCCGAAGAACACCATCCCAACCGTGAAGCACGGGGGGTGGCAGTATCATGCTGTGGAGGGTGCTTTGCTGCAGGAGGAACTGGTGCACTTCACAAAATAGATGGCATCATGAGGAAGGAAATGTATGTGGATATATTGAAGCAACATCTCAAGATATCAGTCAGGAAATTAAAGCTTGGTCACAAATGGGTCTTTCAAATGGACAATGACCCCAAGCATACTTCCAAAGTTGTAGCAAAATGGCTTAAGTACAACAAAGTCAAGGTATTGGAGTGGCCATCACAAAGCCCTGACCTCAATCCTATAGAACATTTGTGGGCAGAACTGAAAAAGCGTGCTTGAGCAAGGAGGCCTACAAACCTGATTCAGTTACACCAGCTCTGTCAGGAGGAATGGGCCAAAATTCACCCAACTTATTGTGGGAAGCTTGTGGAAGGCTACCTGAAACGTTTGACCCAAGTTAAACAATTTAAAGGCAATGCTACCAAATACTAATTGAGTGTATATAAACTTCTGACCCTCTGGGAATGTGATGAAAGAAATAAAAGCTGAACTAAATCATTCTCTCTACTATTATTCTGACATTTCACATTCTTAAATAAAGTGGTGATCCTAACTGACCTAAGACAGGGCATTTTTACTAGGATTAAATGTCAGGAATTGTGAAAAACTGAGTTTAAATGTATTTGGCTAATGTGTATGTAAACTTCCGACTTCAACCGTACCTACCATAGAGGATGTTGATCAGTGAGACCGGCATGACGAGAAAACCCACGAGCATGTCTGCCACAGCCAGGGAGCGCAGGAAGAAGCTGGTGGCATTCTGCAGCTTCCTCTCTAGAGACACAGCTAGGATGAGCAGGATGTTGCCCGCCACAGTGAAGAAGATGACCACTAAGATGAGCAGAGCAGGCCAGTTCTTCTCCTTGTCAGGTGTCTCCGGTCTAGAGTCAGACTGATTCCACTCTACGGGGAAGCTCAGATTCAAGAGAACCGTTGTGCTCTCGGTCATAATCATCCTGTCACTGAGAGAGGCTAGAGGCTGGACCCTCCAAGCACGGCTACTGCTGTGCTCAGCCATCACCTGTGTTCCAAGCACCACTACGGTGCTCAACAAACATTGAACTTCCTGCGATGCCAATGATAGACAGAAGGTTTAGTTTTTCATGCCCCTGGAGAACTCGGATGACATTTGTGATGATGAAAAAATATATTTAAAAAAATCTGCAAAAGAAACCGAAACAGTTCTGAGTTAGTCACATTTCTGTAAACACATTTCCATTGTAGACAGACAACTTAGCTTGTGCATTAACAGAACATTACAGCCACATCAACCTCTGCTTCTATGTATGCCACATCTGTCAGGGACAAGTCAGACCAGTATGCTAATTCATTACAAATACTGTGATTCTCAACAGCCAATGTTTTTTATTCAGGCATGTTCTTTATAAAAGCATGTGCTTATTCAACTGTAAATTGAACAGTGATGCATTTCAGCGATACACTCTCCTCATCATAACCGCAAAACTAAGGACCTACTGCGGCATTGTTTTTGTTGTCATAGGAGACTTTGCAAACAAATATTTGTACTGTATGTGCAAATGTTATTTTTCCATTGTTTACTTTTTTTCCCCCACAGGGCAACAATTGTACAGTAAAACGGTTAGGCTATTTTATTTATTCAAATGACGTACTACTAGACATGAAGTGCTATTCGCATGTGCACATCTTACAGAGTACACCTTTAGAGCAGATGGCAGTAGGGGTGATTCCCTAATTGCTCTGGTTAAAGTCCACTGTTCCTGCCAGATGGGCTGGATGCTCTGGGCTCTCTGCTGGTGCCAAAGAGGATGTGCAGTGTGTGACCACGGGACATGGATCCGGTTCTGATCCACTGAGTCAAGGAACAGCTGGACCGCCGCCAGAAATCATGCAGCATCAATAAGATCAGCAGAGACTATAAGGCGGTTTATGCAGAGAAGATTACTAAACTCAGTGCAAAAAAATTATACAGACTTGGTACAGCGCTTGGCTATTGAAGAAGACCCCAGATGGCATTGCATGCTATACTTCTGTAAGAATGGCCAAGTGCTGATGTGTATCACATTGGTCTCTGTGCCACATCGGGAGTCTGGGTAATATGCTGTATCTTGACAGTCAGACTAGAAGCCACTACCACCGTAAGAACATAAAAATGTCACACCATGCCGTGCTATAATCCCAAACGATGTCAATGTATTATCCTTCAAAGGGACTAAAGCTTAAAGAGGAAGACAAATTAGAGATAGTCTAAGTTAATTTTAGTCCCTGGATGTCTTCATTCCTCCGGCAAACATTGAAGCTCTGGTGATTCAACCCTCTAAAATAAAATGGTTTGTCACCTTTAATTTGGCCACCAAACACTAAGCTAGACAAACTTACCCCTTGGGGAGTGGTGGAAATTGTAATGTTTCAAAAATGCATCCTAGCACTGACAATGTCCGTAGAAGTGGAGGCTGGTGGGAGGAGCTATAGGAGGAGCAGCCTCCACTGGTCTGTAGGAAAGATGACATCACCATTGTGTTCTTCTATGTACAGTATCTGTGTTCTATCTTTTTAAAGTCTTAAAGTGGAACTAACAGCGTTTTAATTACTTTGCAGATATGAAACAAACAGACAATCATAATATCAGTCCAAAAAAATCAAATTCCCAGTTTATGCTACAAAACTGTTGGACTAAGTTCTATTTGACAAAATATTCCATGACGTAGAGCAGGGCTCTCCAACCCTGTTCCTGGAGAGCTAACATCCTGTAGCTTTTCACCCAACCCTGTTCCTGGAGAGCTAACATCCTGTAGCTTTTCACTCCAACCCTGTTCCTGGAGAGCTAACATCCTGTAGCTTTTCACTCCAACCCTGTTCCTGGAGAGCTAACATCCTATAGATTTTCACTCCAACCCTGTTCCTGGAGAGCTAACATCCTGTAGCTTTTCACTCCAAGCCTGTTCCTGGAGAGCTAACATCCTGTAGCTTTTCACTCCAACCCTGTTCCTGGAGAGCTAACATCCTGTAGATTTTCACTCCAACCCTGTTCCTGAAGAGCTAACATCCTGTAGCTTTTCACTCCAAGCCTGTTCCTGGAGAGCTAACATCCTGTAGATTTTCACTCCAACCCTGTTCCTGGAGAGCTAACATCCTGTAGATTTTCACTCCAACCCTAATCTAGCACACCTGATTCTAATAATTAGCTGGTTGATAAGCTGAACCAGGTTAGTTAGGCTGAAGCAGGTCCATGGGGACAAACGTAACAGAAGGTAGCAAAGAAGATGGTGGACAAGGAAAAAATGGAAGAAAGTGGAATAAACACTACATTACCAAAAGTATGTGGACACCTTCTTGTCGAACATCTCATTCCAAAATCATGGGCATTAATATGGAGTTGGTCCCCCCTTTGCTGCTATAACAGCCTCCACTCTTCTGGGAAGGCTTTCCACTAGATGTTGGAACATTGTTGCGGGGACTTGCTTCCATTCAGCCACAAGAGCATTAGTGAGGATGGGCACTGATGTTAGGTGATTAGGCCTGGCTCGCAGTCGGCGTTCCAATTCATCCCAAAGGTGTTTGATGGGGTTGAGGTCAGGGCTCTGTGCAGGCCAGTCAAGTTCTTCCACACCGATCTCAACAAACCATTTCTGTATGGACCTCGCTTTGTGCACGGGGGCATTGTCATGCTGAAACGGCAAAGGGCCTTCCCCAAACTGTTGCCACAAAGTTGGAATCACAGAATCGTCTAGAATGTCACTGTATGCTGTAGCGTCAAGATTTCTCTTCACTGGAACTAAGGGGCCTAGCCCGAACCATGAAAAACAGCCCCAGACCATTATTCCTCCTCCACTAAACTTTACAGTTGGCACTATGCATTCGGGCAGGTAGCGTTCTCCTGGCATCCGCCAAACCAAGATTCGTCCGTTGGCCTGCCAGATGGTGAAGCATGATTCATCACGCCAGAGAACACGTTTCCACTGCTCCAGAGTCCAATGGTGGTGAGCTTTACACCACTGCAGCCGATGTTTTGATGGAATGGAGGATCGCACAGAACTTTCGGAAGTGAATTAATTGTGGTGGCAGGTGCAGTGATGACCGAGAAGGAGCTGAGTGTAGTGGGAAGCAGTGTGGTGAGGAGGGTTGGCGTCAAATGCAAAAAGAGGGATACGTGCTAGTAGCTCAGAGATGGAACCTGACGAGGGTATGATGTAGTACCTGCGGTGAGGACTGCTGAGTTCAGGCCTCATCCAGATGGTGATAAAGATGGTTCTGGCCCAGTGGGAGTGAGATTTTTGGAGAGAATGGATCTTTGCCTTCTGGCTGATCCATATGTGGTGTCAGGTTATGTGGAGAAGAGGTTGGGGAATGTTGGGTTGGTGAAAGTGACTCGAAGTGGTATCGTGTAGATTTTTTGCATTTCTGCTGTCCTAAGGGAGCGTACGCACCGTACCACGCAACTGGGGACAAGAACTGTGACTTGCTTTCCTCTCCGGAGCAGGGCGCCGTTTTGAAAGGAGTAATAACTGGAGTGGCGTTAAGTGTTGAGGTTGAAGATTCCCGGTGTCTGTGACGCCCACCGTTTGGTGCGAGGCAGACCCAGTGGAGAGCGCTGTGAAATGGAGAAGACACTGTCTGGACTACTGAGTTTTGAGTCTTTACCAGATAAAGTTAGGATCTGTCAGTTATCACGCGAGAGCTTTTGTCCCGAATCCATTATGGTGTTTTAGGTGTCAAACGTATGGTAATGTGGCAGCAGTGTGTAGTAGGGAGATTCTTAGATGTGAGAAGTGTGCAGGAGGACATGAGACAAAGGAATGTGTATTATTGGTGGAAAAAATAGTGTGTTTAAACTGTAGGGGTATCCATGGTGCTGGAGATCAGAGGTGTCCGGTGAGAGAAAGGCAAGTTGAGGTTGCCAGGATCAGAGTAGTGCAGAAGGTGTCATATGCTGAGGCAGTGAAGAGAGTAGTAGAGGAAGATGGATCCAGGGTGAAGGATCCAAGGCCAATGGAGAGTGATAGGAAATAACATGTGCTTCAGTAAGGTTGGTTTTTTGGCGTTCATGGCCATGGTTGTCAATTGTACCTCAGGAATGGAACGTAAATCATAGAGGATTTTCTGTGGTGGCAGCTGCAGAGAAGTACTTGGGTGTACGAGATTTTACTGCAGAAGAGTTATAAGATGTTTTGAACAATAGTGTCCCGTCCTCCCAGGCTGCTGGCCTGGAGTAGGATCAGATAGGGCCAAAGTAGTAGAATAGTGGTGCGGTTTTAATGGGTGCAGGGTTAGTTGGTAGGGCAATTTTTTCACAAAGTGTAATGAATTCATACTACAGAATAGTAGGCTAATACACAGCCAATACAGTAGGTGGTGGCATGCACCTATAAAATGTGTTTGTGGACCGCCATGATACCAAAGACGACGACACACCAAAGCAGCCGTTGCAGACTCTCAAGTCAAGGACGTAGAGAGTATTAGCAAGACTAGTAGAGTAAGGTACTGTTGGCAGAATAGATGGATGCAGTTCAATGATTCAAATAATTCACCAATACATTTCTAGGTAGTCCAACAAATATTGCTATCAGGTTGTAAATCACAGCTGGCCTGGTACATGTTTTGCTGCCTCCACCCATTCGGGATGCACCGTTTCAGTTTCAATTACTCAATATATCAATAACTAAGGCTGGGAATGTCAATACAATCAACTAGCAAGGGCAATGATCCCAAGTCAGTCATAACGTGGCTAATAAACCAGCCTATCTATTTATGTAGCTATTTATTTAGCAAGCTAAAAACACGGAGCCTAACGTTAGCTAGCTAGCTAGCTGCTGGGAGGCTGTCATGTCATTGAACGAGTGGGTGAGTGGCCAACTTTTTCCCATCATATAGTTTTTCGGTGGCTACAGCTAGAGATGCAGGTGTCATTTGGTTAGCTATCAAGAAATGGGAATCGCTTTGCTACCTAGCTAGCTAGCTATGCTGAACTTGAACGACTGTTATCCACAGTTAGCATGCATACAGTATCTCTTAGTTGTCAACCAAATGTATTTGGCATCG